TTTTTATTGTTATTTTTTTACTCTTAGTCCCTCATTTGGTTCCCCTATATTCCCCCTAGAAGTGAAACCATCCGATAACATTTCTTTTTCCTTCTGACTTATTTCACTGCCCATTTATTAATTGGGTTGTTATTTTACTGTTAAATTTTACATGTTTTTAAAATATATATTGGATATTAACCCCTTATCAGTTATACATTGGGCAGATATTTTCAATAGGGTGTCTTTTTAATCATCTTACATTTTCTTTTATAGAAGCTTCTTTTATAGGAGCTTTATAACTTTAGCTAACCCCAATTGTTTCTTTTTGTCTTTAGTTCCCCTTGTTTTTAGTTCCCATGCCATACATATCAAGTCAACAAAATTAATTTTATCATAGATATCATGGATCATATTTACACTGTTTTCTTATTTTATTGCTGAAGATCTTAAATCTAAGCCTTTAATCCATTTGGAGTTTATTTTTGTGTATGAGGTTACTGAATGATCAACTTCATTCTTTCGTGTGTAGCTTTACATTTTCCCCAGCACCATTTATTAAAGAGACTGTCCTTTCCCCATTTCATGGTCGTGGCTGCTTTATCATTAATTGAGGGATGGCATTTTCATTTATTTTATTTCTGGACTTTATATTCTATTTCATTGATTCATTTACCTAATTTTATGCCAATGCCATTTTGTTTTTAGTACTGTTGCTTTGTAATTTGCAGTCAGGTAATGTGAACCTCCACTTTTTTTCCTTTTTTCTCAGGGCTGCTTTTGCTGTTTTGTGGTTACATGTAAATTTCAATATTTTTCAATTAAAAATATTTTGATGGGGATTGCATTAAATTTATACATCAGTTTAGGCAGAACAGTCATTTTGATTGTATTGATTTTCCCCATCCATGAGCATTGGATAACCTTCCATCTCTTTAGGTCACTAAGTCCTTTAGTAACATCTTGTATTTCTATTTGTATCGGTCTTTAACTCAGTTAGTTTGATTCTTTGTAAACTAATTATAAATGGAGTTATGTTCTTAATTTCTTTTGCTTCTTGTTCATTGTATATAAAAAGACTATGGATTTTTGTATGCTGATTTTGTAACCAGCCACTTTGCTCTTTTAATTTATTGTTTTTAATACTTTTTTTGATAGAGCCTTTAGGATTTCCTATGTATAATATCATATCATTAGTGAATAATTATGGTTTCACTTAGTCTTAATTGGATTCTCTTTTTATTTCCAGTGTTTGATAGTTTTAACCAAAGTCTCTAATATTTAAGAAGTGGTGACAATGGGCATCCTTGTCTTGTTCACAATCTAAAGTGAAAAATTTTTAGTTTTTCCACCATTAAGTAGTATATTTACTTTTGAATTGTAGTATGTTGCCTTGATTAAATTGAGATAGGTTCCTTCTCTCCCCATCTTGTTTAGAGTTTTTATCATAAATCCCAGTGTTGAATTTTATCACATCAATTGATGTATCTGTAAAGCAACCAACCCATTCCGAGCAGGTTTATGAACGGTTCTAGCAGCCACATGCTCTTCACCATTGTTTGTAGTCGCCGCACTCCTCTGTACACTCCACTCCTCCACCCTTAACACCGCACCACCACCACACTGCACTCTGCTGCACCACCCTTATAAATCAGTCTCTTAGCGCAGGTGTGCCCACTTCAGGTGCCCGCCATCAGACATGCACCCAGGACCACAGGGCTCCCTCATCCATCCTGATGGCGGGAGGGCAGAAAAGCCTGATACCTTTTACCTTACCCTACAGTCCACCCTCTCAGGGTTTTCTGCCATATAGTCTACATATATATGCAATTTTCTAAGCAAACAAACAATGCAGCCATGGCCCACAAAAGCAAATACATCACAATATAACAAAATACAACAGAACACAAATAAGTCCAGGCAGGGTGCCAACCTAGTGCAAAAGACAATTATTGGTACCAGCAGATGAGCCACCAAATCCGCTGCCTAAGGCACTGCTCATACGAGGGAGGGGAATCACTCACAGCATCTACTATAACACACCAGGAGCCGTCGGGGTTCCTGGCCTTCTCTGGCTGTAGTCTCGGCTACAAGCCACACACCGCATCCACCCCCAGGATGCACTCACTCTGGGATTGGCGATTCTATTCTGTTGGGGGTAATCGCCAACCCTCAGGGTTTCTGTCTGCAGTCGCTCCAACACTTGGCCTTCACAGCCACCAATGCGACTCGCAGACCCCTGCACTCAGGCCAACTCACTGCACAAGCACATGGGTCGGGGATCCAAACTCTACATGCGGCTTGGGCTCCACCCCAAGCCACGTTCCCCACCGGTCCCCCAAGGACGGGTTCCTCAGCTCCTCACCCTCACCCGACAACGAGCAGGGCATCACCCACAGGTGATTTTACGAGACTCACAGGTCTTCAGCATACTCAGGCTGCTTACCAGCCACTCAGGGCTTCTCAACTTAGCATCAGCACCAGCTTTTGCCTTTTCAGTTGGCTTTTCTCCTCCGCCTAGATGCTGGGCATACACAGGCTGCTTTTGGCCATCAAGGCCCACTGGCCACCCCTAGATTCCCATCTCCTGGGGTTTACAAACGAAACTGTTCCACCCCCAGGGTCCCAAAACATATCAACCTGCAAGTTCCTCCGCCTTCTGGTGGGATTGTCAGTCCAAGTTCATCAGTCCGAGTCCATCAGTCCAAGTCCATTAGGCCAAGTTCATTGGCCTCTCCCTGCATCAGCACTGGTGAGCTCCGAATCGTGGTCTCGCTTTGCCAATGATTCTTGCTGCTTCAGGGGTCATTGGCTGGTCCTTTCCCATGTCATTGGCTGGTCCTCTCGGGCATCTTCTCCATGCGAGGTCTCGTCCAGCAGCTCCCGGACGGTGTCCACCTTCTGTGCTGCCATGGCACCTCCAGCGTCATCACAGGCAAACAGTCTGTTCTCCTTAGTCCCTCCAGGTCTTCGGAGGGCTCTAATACCCGTCTACATGGATCTTGCCGACTTACGCCAATTGTAAGGGGCAGGAACAGGCACAGTGCAGGTTTTCTGATCCCATGCAGACCAGTAAAGGAGGAGTCAGAGTCCTCAGTGGTTTTTTGCAGGTCTTTTATTGGGGTTCACCAGGCATATGGCAGGCAGGGGTGCTGGGGGGCCGGGAGGCTGGCAGGCCTCCCAGTCCCCAGCAAATCCTCACTCTATCTGGGCTCTCTGGTGATCTTGGCTTCTCTTTCGGTTTCTGCTGCTTCTGGCATCCCCGTGACACCGCCCTTAAAAGCACAGTCTTAGCCCAGGTGAATCCCATCTACCTATGCCCACGCCCTATTCCAGGTGCCCACCATCAGGCATGCATTCAGGACAAGGATCCATCATCTATCCTGATGGCGGGAGGGCAGAAAAGCCTGATACCTTTTTTACCTTACCCTACAGTATCACAGTTTTTTTTTTTTTTTTCAGTTCCATAAGCATTGTTAGAACTATCATCTTGAACTCTTCTGTCATTTTCTATAGTTCTGCTTGCTTGAAGCTCCTGTCAGTTATCTTCCCCTCTCTGGACTTTGTGGTATGTTTTTGTAGTCTCTTTAATTTTAATTTTTTGTGGGTTGTTAATAAGGATATATTTTCAGATTGTTGCCTTTGCACCTGTAGAAGTAATCTGAGAACTGATTCTGGTGAGAAGTAGTAGGTATGAAAGATACTTGGGGACATAGGACACCAAAGATCACTTCCAGTAAATTCAGGAATTTCAAACTTCATGACTGTGGGTGCCAGAGTTCTACTAACACCTAGTTAGTACTTAGGTGTTAATGTCTCTTACATTCTCATGTCCACTTCTACTGTAGGCTATTTTTTGCACTAGAAGTAGTCCTGGGCAGGGGTTGATAGTGGTCACAGGTCGGAAGAGGTTAGCTTTATTTTTCATCACTGAGTCTTATCCTGGGGTGTTTGCTCTTGTTATTTACAGGTTCTTGAGCTCAAGTTTGTTCATGTGCTCCTTTACTTTGCCTTTAGCCCTGGTAGGGGAGTGGCAGGTGGTTAGAATATCTCAGTCTCATCCCCATGGAGACCCAAGTGCTCTGACCCACATCTCCCGGACAATTCAGGCATCAGCTGCTCTTTATTGAGAGCATCAGTCTCAATCTAGTAATCCTCACTCTGCACCTCTACTCTGCAGCTCTCCAACAGTGCACCCTCTGTCCTGGGTGCCAACCCACATAACCGCTTATCCCATGCAATACTGAGTCTTAGGAGTGCCTGATATTGGCATATACATGACTCAGTGACTCAGTTGGTATTGGGTATTGGGTTTTTGCACAAGTAGCTCTCTTCTGGGTTCAACTGCCTGTAATAAATATAAACAAATTTCAAGTAAAGTTTTTCCTAGACCTTTCAGTCAGACCATTATTCCTAGAGTATGCTGTGTCTCTGTTTTTCCCTCAAGGTTTTTGTTTTTATTATTTTGTTTTATTGAAATTTAGTTGTAATGGGCCTCCCCTGGTGGCGCAGCGGTTGAGCGCTGGGTTGCGAGGCTGCCTGCAGCCTCTGCAGCGCCAGTTCAATCCCTGGCCACCGGCGAGGGTACCAAAAAAAGAAAAAAAGAGAAAGAAAGAAATTTAGTTGTATTTAGAGGAGGTGAGCCTAGTATCTTCACTCTGCTGCCATGGTAATGGACTCCTCAAGTTACAATATTTCTTTGTATGAATTTTCACATTGCTGATATATGCAGTCATGCGCTTTTATTCAGGATGTATTCTTAATCCACCATGGACCAAACACTATACTAAGTTCTGAGTCTATACACAGGAAAAGTAAAGAGAGTCCAGTGCTTATAGTTTCATGAGTCACTTATTATTGTTATATGTTCACATAGATATTTCTTTTTTCACAAATGGATTTGTAGCAAACATCACTGTCACTCCTTTGAGAGCTTATGGTCTAGGTGAGGCAAATTACTCTTATGCAGAATACTATCCTCCTTAAGAGCAAATGACAAGATATTTATATTTTGTATCCAGCTGCAGAATTTTAATAATGAACAAAAACCACCTTACATCTTTCAAGCAATTACCAAAGATACCTCAAATACAGCATTTATCCTTGGCTGAAAACCACATTGAGAAACTGACTGGGCTTGCCAGTTTACACTGTACTCCACTGGAATCCCTTGTGCTCAAGAGGAACCCTTGTGAGTTTCATCAAAATTACCGTAAACGGTAAGGCCCCAAATGTATTGTCACCTTTTAAACTTTGAATATTATGTGGTTTTACAGTTTTTTCCATTTGCTTAAATTTCATTCAGCGAACATTTATCATAACACTATGTGTTGAAAAACTCATGCTTTTAAGGGCCTCCCCAGTGGCTAAGGGTTAAGTCTCAGCGCTATCACCACTACGGCTATGGCACAGCAGACCTCTCCTGTCTTGCTCGCTGCTCCCCTCAACAGTGTATTTCAGTAGATCCACCTGTTCTGCTCCCTACTCTGTCTCTGGTGAATATCTTACTCCCCCACACCTCTGGCCTACACCCCAGTTCTTCTACATAAAAATAAAAAAAACTTCATCTTCTTAATCTCATATAAGGAAGTGATTTTTTTTGCCTTTTTAAAGAAATTTAATATATTTTCCATTAATTTATAACTGCTGTATTTTATTTATTTAATATTTTATTTAATATTTTTATTGATTAAACTTTGTTATTTTCTTACATTGTAGTTCACTTTTGTACAATATTTGAATTTTCCCCTCAGGAGTAGCCCTGTCACCCATGAACCATCACCACATCACCCATGAACCATCACCGTAGTCCCTTGTAGGCACCTATTTTAATGTGATTTCACATTCACTAAGATGTTTCATTGAAAAATTTCATTAGATGGAGGGAAAACTTGTACATTAATAGGAACTTTAGAGCTGACTCTAAAGTTTCGTGAGGCAGTACAAAGTGCAAATGTAGGACCCTTTGTTCAAAAAGCAGGAAGCAAGTGTCACTATACCTACTAATACAGAGGTTTTCTCTTCCTTCTGCTGTCTGTCATTCTCTTGCCGAACATGCCATGGTGTTTCTAATTTGCTGGTTAATGTCAATATAACTAAAGAAATAATGATTAGCAGGAAAAAATAATTATAAACATTTAAAATGGATAAGACAATAGAGTTCAAGTATATACCCTCAGAAGATAGAAACATAGAAAAACAAAAAAAAAAAAGTGATTAATATTAGATAGTGGTCACTTCAGGGGAAACAGGAGGATTATAATGAAGATGGCATACATAGTAGAGCTTCTGAGGTGACTGGAAAAGCTGTATTACTGATCTGAAGTATAGTTACAAGAGTGTTCATTTTATACTAATTTACAAACCTATGCATTCTTAATGTTTATCTGTTATATTTTGTTTTAAAAATATTTTAAGACATAAAAAATATTAAAGTAACTGGATTTCAGGTATACAGCAATGTTGATTAATATCTGTGTCTATTACATTTTACTCACCACTAGAAGTCCATTTTTTATTATTCACCATATAGTTGACCTCTTTCACCTACTGCCCTTCTCCCTTTCATCTGGCAACCACCCTTTTATTTAACATACTCTGTCTGTTTGAAGATGTTTCACTTTAGGCTTTCAAACCCTTTCCATTTATCATAATATTAAATAAATATTGTCTTTTTAAAACATTCTAATATTGATTCCTTTCAAGGTCCATGTGGCAATCTCAGAAATTTTTTATTCCCTCTCTTTTTTTCCACTTTTTTTTGGAGCCACAAGAGCACCATTAGGTGAATACAAGAAGTAATTGATTCAATCCACTCTAGTGGCTGAAAAAGCTCAAAAATCTGCTAAAAATAAACCACTTTTATTCCATTATCAATATTGGGAACATTCCTAAAGATAGAAATAGTACATAAGCAACCCTGATGTGTGAAAAAAGTAATATTGGCACATATTTATCTCCAACCAATTGTGACCATTACTATTATTGTATTTATAAGAAGTAAAAAGGATTAAAAAAAGGTAACTGTGTTCTAGAAGCCTATTTGCCATCATATAATCACAAGTCACCTCATATCTGTTTTAATATGTTATATAAATGGTTATATCATTTGTAGTTTCCACTCCTGTTTTTCTGATTATTGCCCTTTCATCTACAAAGAACCTCTTCATAGACGTCCTTTCACATATGACATTTCAATTTTCTGATGACATTTTCCTTATTCCAGATTCCTCTGTTAGTGTCTTCAACTGATGATGTACAATAAAAAAAAATTGTTAAAATAAAAATTCTAATATGTGTTGTTACTACATAAAGCTCATTACTGAAGCTGTCTCTCCCCCAAAAGTAGTCTGAAAGAAAAGTTTCATGTTTTCTTATAATAAATTTTCAAATTACTTTTGTGTAATAGTAAAAATTAGTAGCACAGCTGCTTTAATATTAAACTAATATTTAACCATAATAATGTTTTGAAGCTTAAAATTATTTTTTCCTGCAGTTAAGGAGGTTTATCTTGATGTTTCAACATAGTTCATAAAAATTCATCTTGTCATAAAGATAATTTATCAGTATTATATTTCAGTTTTGTTAATTTATATATGAGATTTTATATACTATTTTAGCCCAAACTCAGTCACTTGCCTCAGTTCAAATAATGCCTTCAAACAACAATATTAAGATTAATTGTTTGAAATATGGTATGCCCTGAGGATACACTACATATTAAAATTCATGATGTGGAAATGAGGGATACAGTGAGGTTCTTCTATTTTTCTAGTATTAACTCTACTGGATTAATATCAAGGTGGATTAAATACTGACAATCAAGTTATACCAAACCAGATTATATTTAGTTAGTAATACAGAGTCACTTTAAACAAAATGAAGTGGTCATGTTCAAATATGACAAGATTTAAGTTGTCATTCATGCTGATGAGCAAAGCTAAGTTGAAGTAATAAGTTCCTCCACACTTAGGTTTAGTCACAACCAAAAACTCACAGGGTTATAACAGCAATCATTTTATCAGTGGATAGCTTTGTGTCAAGGATTTGGGACATGCCTTTAAATATTTTACATCATGGGCCTCCCCGGTGGCGCAGCGGTTGAGCGCTGGGTTGCGAAGCTGCGCGCGGCCTCTGCGGCGCCGGTTCGATCCCCGGCTGCTCCCCGGCCACCAGAGGAGGGTCCCACATGGCGCGCAGACCTCTCCTGCCGCCCGCTGCTCCCCTCAGCAGTGTACTTTGGTCCTTCTGCCTGCTCTGCTCCCCGCTCTGGCTCTGGTGAATTCTCTCGCCCTCCCGCGCTTCTGACTGTACCCAGTGCATGTATAAACAAAACAAACAAACAAACCAGCAAACAAATAAATAAAGCATGCCTCTATAAAAAAAAAAAATAAATAAATAAATATTTTACATCATGATCAGAATTATTTAAGTATTCATTTTTCTTAATCATCATCACCTAAAATTATGATTGTCTTTCCCTTCCTCCTTCACTTCAGATCCTGCAATATGAAAGCAGTACAGTTAAAAAGAAATGACTCATTGATAGAGCTGATAGTATAAGTCCCAGAAGAGAGTGGGCAGCCCCACGTCTATGTCAACACCTGTCAAACTCTACTTCCACTTTTCAGAAATCAATATGATCTTAGTTCATTGAGTTTGATGTTTTAAAAAGAAGCAGTAGCTAGGAGTGAAAGATAAATCCAACATTGTGTCCAGAAGATTTAGATTTAAATCATCTTGCTGTCACCTACAGACTTTATCTCACTTATTTAAAATGGGTGATAAAAACTGACCTGACAGTTGTGAGGACTGACTGGATTTTACAGCAGGATTTTACACTAAGAAAATCAAGCAGTCAGTGGGAACAGTAGCCACCATCATGGAAAGTCTGCTGAGATATTTCATTATCCCTCATCCTGGGCAAATCTGAGGATCATACATTTCCTCTGTGTCCTTGGAATTCCCAGACCTAGGGAAGATGTCCACTTGAAAGAAAACACTGCTTTCTAACACTGCTAGGTAGGTGACTACAGTTTAAATAGAGTTGGTGTGAAGAACCCCTCCTTGAATGTGGAAGTGATTGGGTAAATTAGAAAAATGAACTTCAAAAATGTTCTTAGTCAACAGGATATAACCCTGCAGAATGTTATATCTCAACTTTTCTCTTACACCTCTCAACCAGAATTTTTCCTTAACTCTTACTGAACAATAGAGGCTTGTTGTACTTTTTCTTTTTTGTAAACTTTTATAATGTGCACATATATCATGATCTCTTTCTATCATTGCTAGTGTGTAAAATCACTCATTATTTTTCCTTTACACAAGTTTACAAAAGTTAGATTGAAGTTTTCTTATAAAAGATTGTATGCACTTCTCTTACCAACACTTAGATATCCTGAGTTATGTGTCAGCTCTCTGAGAAGACAAGATAGAGCAGAGGCATCAAATCAATGAACATAAAAAGTATTTCATTTAATCCCATTGCAATGAAAAGTTAAACCGAATAAAGTGACAACTGCTTATATTTCTAGAAACAATAGGCAAACTCCACTCATAAAGAGAATATGTGAAATAAAATGCTTTTTTCTCAATGTAGTTTCTTTTTTTTTTTTTTTAACATTTGCTTTAGAGTGTTTTCCTGTTTGCCAAATTTAAAAATGCTCGATGGAATCCTGAAGCTACCAGAAGATTCTTCACCAACTCAAACCAGTATTTTTTCAAAAGTGTGTACTGTATCATGATATAAATTTGAATAAGATAAAAAATAATTAAGGAGCTGGGATACTACACACAGGCAGGATCCCAAGCAAGGAAATAATATAGTGCTAAAGACTAAATCTGTCATTAAGATGAAAAGAAACCCTAATGAATGGCAGAAAATATTTGCACATCATACACTTGGCAAGTGACTAATACCCACGATCTAAAAAGAACTCACAGAATTCAACAACAAGAAAGCCATTAGCCCAATCGAAAAATGGGCAAAAGTGCTAAATAGTTACTTCTCCAAAGAGAACATATAGATGGCCAATAAGTATATGAAAAAATGTTTCTCTCTTATCATCAGGGAAATGCAAATCAAAGCCACAATGAGATATCACCTCACAGCTCTAAGAATTACCCATATAAAAATTACTAGCAATGAAAAGTGGTGCTGAGGGTGAGGAGAAAAAGAAACCCTCATACACTGTTGGTTGGAATGTGGAGTGGGCCAGCTTACATGAATAATTGTATAGAGGTTTCTCAAAATGTTAAAAATAGACCTCCTGTATGACCCAGCAGTTCCAGTCCTAAAAGGTATTTACCCAAAGAATACACAAACACTAATTCCCTCCTATGCTCATTGTAGCACTATTTACAATAGCAGCAATGATATAGAATCAGTCTAAGTGCCCAAGGGCAAATGAGGAGATAAAGAAGATATGTTCTATATACACAATAGAATACCACTCAGCTACCAAAAAAAAAAAAAAATCTTGCCACTTTCAACATAGTTCCAATATGTATTGATCTGGAGGGATTATATTAAAGAACTAAGTCAGCAGGAGAAAACCGCATATTAGATGTGTTCACTCAATGTATGGCATACAAAGAAAGTAAATAATGGAACAAACAAAACCAAACCAAAACAAACCCTGAGGAATTAAGGACACCAGAGTGGAGGGTGTCATGTGTGGAACAAAGGTTGGGAGGTGACCCAGTGCATATAGGTAAAGTATTGCTACCCAATAGTAAAGGATTGTTAGTACTTTGATGGTGGGCATAGTATGGCAATATACATCTAAAGATGTATGAACTTAGATCCCTAAATCATATATAGTGTCATAAACCAATGTTACCTTAATAAAAATAATACAATAAAAAGCAAATATAAAAAGAAATCAAAATAAAAGTCCAAAGAGCTATTAAGCATACTAGCTGACTTGCAAAAAAAAAAAAAATTGGCATTGTCAGGACTATTGACAACATCTTGTGAAATTTTGTGAATAATATACTACATTGAGGGAAATTAATTATGATTAATTTAAAGATTTTCTTTTTAAAACATACTAATAAAAGTTTCCCTTGATAATAGAGAATGACTTGTAAATTATGAGCGTTAGATGTTATCATTTTCTTTATATGAACCCTACAGTGTGTAATATCAAGAGAACACCCTTATATAAAGTATGTATTTAGTTTAATAATGTGTTAATAGAAGCTCATAAATTATTACAAATGTATATCATATGGGGAATATTGAGAATGGGGTGTCTATCCATGTGTGAATGTTACATAGGAAATCTCTGTTCCTCCTCAATTTTGCTTGAGCCTAAACTGCTCTAAAAAATAAAGTCTATTTAAAAAATATAAAAAAAGTTCTGTTCATTAATGACTTTCACATAATAGAAATTTAGCAAGGTCTTAAGCCATATGTTTGTTATTGAATACATAGAAAATAAAAATAATCTTTTTAATTTGAGAGCTTCATAAACATTATTTAAAGCCTGTCTCTCCTATATATTAATGCGAAAAGACAAATCAATTTAACATCTTTCAAAACTTAAAGAAAAGTTAATGTAAGATCTTACAGCTTTTTTTATTTATAAAGATCATCTTAGTTGCAGAACTAAGTTTCCTCCAAGATGACACTGATTGATCAGGTACCATAAATATTTTCTAGCTAATTCTGCCATGATTGAAAACCACTTGCATAATTGTATAACAAAGAGTCTAATAAGATGACACAGTCCCTTCCCCCACGAATCTTGCCAATGTTTAGAGAAGATAGTTCACACATAAGCCCTAAAATACAATGAAATATGTTGTGAAAATCTATTATGAAAGTAAATGGGAGAAAAGTTAGGTAATTGCTCAAAGTCATTTGAGATAGATATTAGAGAATAACAGATTTCTACCACCCAAATGCCCAAGAATAGATGACTGGATCAAGAAGATGTGGTATATACACAATACAATACTATTGAACAATCAAAAAAGATACACTTACACCATTTGCAGCAACATGGCTGACTCTGGAAGGGATTATGCTCAGTGAAATGAGCCAGAAGGAAAAAAGAAAAATATCTGATGGTTTCACTTATAAGAGGAATATAGGATAACCAAATAGGGATCAGGAAAAAATAATAAATAAAAAAGAAAAATTAACAGGCAACTATAAATTTGAGACCTTTTGCAGGGGTGGGAGAGGGGGCAGAGCATGAACAGGGGAGGGAAGAGCATAAAGGACTATGATGATGGTGCACAGGTGAATTGGTGGTGGGAATTTTAGAAGGATAACACCTAAGAGGAGAAAGCAAATGATCAAAAATGAACAATGATGTGTGTGTATGTGTGTGTGTATACACACACATATATTTACATAAATATAAAAAATAATAATATATTTCCATAGGTAGCAAATAGTAGGTTATTCCAGTCAGAAGGTACACCATTAAATGGGGCATAAAGATCAGAGAAAAATGCAAGTTAGAATTAGGTTTTGTTGCAAAAGTAAAAATTAGATTGACAATGGCTTTAAAATATTAATAATGATTGATATAATCACTACTATTGTGGCAACCACTATGTACCAGTCACAGGGAAATGAATATCACACATCTCCACAACCTATACAATACTATATGTCCTCTGCAATGCAACACACCATGCATTTATTATTTAAATTCTGAAAAACTATGAGGTTCTGAGTATTCTCATTTTATAGACAGGGAGATCTAAGGCTCATAATTTGCTCAAGGTCTCACAAGGTAGGTCACACACTTTTACATGACAGGTTCAAAGTCTGAGCACCTTTCAACATCCTTACTAAATCTTCTAAAAATTGAGTTCTGATATAAAAATTCAAAATGATACTTGGGGTTTCTAGGGATAACTTCTATCATAATTCATCGCAAATCCTAGCATTTAATCATAATAAAGTATTCCCCGTTCTTTGAACATACCCTAAGCTTTTCTTGTTCAAGTTTTCCCTTCTTTTTGTAAGATTTTCCTCTTAAAGTCACCCTAAGAAAGTTTTGCTTCCTCTCAATGCTCACTCTAAGTATATTTTATTCAAAACTCTTTCTCTTCAATTATGTTTCCTCTGCAGTTCCATAGTACTTTTTAAAATACTGTTTTTATGATATGCTTTCTCCTAAACTCTTGGAAGTCAATTATGTCAACCAATGTGATTTGATCAGTGAAATTTTACTAAGTAACATAGGCTCTTGTAGGCAAAAATTTTTGGAACCAGTTCGTACTTTGTCATACTTTCTTTGTTTCACTAAGCAGGGTAATTTCTAGATAACGGCTATTCCTTCATCTTAAATCCTGTGGTGACTATCATGATGTAGGGCAGAGCCATAATTATCCTCCTTCAGATGATGTATAATAAGAGAGTAGACATATCAGCCTCTGGATTTCCATCTTATGCTGTACCATAGCCTAGAACTTTCCCAAGTAATACAGCTCCTTAAATTTACAGACTGAAATTTAAATTTGTTCAATGATATTTTTTCCAAAAAAATAACATAGTAAGCACTCAATATGATTAATGATGGTTAAATGTCTTTTATAAGAAACCATGAATGGGGTTACAGAGTTATGCAGTAAGATGCAACTATAATAGTTTAGGTGACACATATTACAAACTTTAATTGGGGAAAGTACTAGAAATACACAAATCATGAGGACACAAGGAATTGTGTAGGTATAAAGTCAATGAATTTTTTTATTATTTAAATGATATTAAATTGAGTTATCTATCACAAAAGCATTATGACAAAGGAAAATCATGGGTTTCATACACGGGAAGTAAGAGGCTCAAGATACTGGAAGCTGCTAGGAAGAATGAGTTGCCTCACTGGTAAGAGTTCAAAATGTTTATTACCCTATTCTTTTTTTTTAAGATTTGTTTTTATTTATACAAGAACCAGGGTACAGGCCAGATGTGCTGATGGGTGAGAGGATTCACCAGAGACAGAACGGGGAAAAGAACAGGCAGAGCAACCGAAATACACTGCCAAGGGGAGCAGCGGGGAGACAGGAGAGGTCTGCTGTGCCATGTGGTTGTCTCCCCAGCCCGTGGGGATCAAACTTGTGCTGCAGAGGCTGAGGACAGCTTCACAGCGCTGTGTTCAACCTGCTGCGCCACCAGGGAGGCCCTATTATCCTATCCTTAAGAGCTGCCCTGTGTTGGTAACAATATGATGTTCTGATATTAAGAGCTGCAGTTTCTGTGGAAGTTTGGCAAGAGGGCTTGAGGCTTACTTATGTTAGAGGGGAACTGATTGGTGGAAGGTCAATGACTTGAATAACATTAAATCTAATATTGAGTCTTATCTATTCATTGCAGTGACAGCTGCTCTAATAGTTATCAGTGTGACATATCCAGTAATAATAATCCTATTATTTAAATTAATCTGTTCACTTGAACTGTGTAATACTTACTTGCAATTTCTATAATAACAGAGACCAAGCCACTCTATCCCATAGCCTAAGCATAATAACATACATACTATATTGGAAATTTTGTAGGGTTTTTGTTTTTTTGTTTTTTTGGTTTTTTTGTCAGCAATAAAGCTGCATTTGTGGTAAATTTACTCATATACTCAAAATATGACAAAATTCTGTCCATATTCTTTTTAATTCAACAAAACTACTCTAAACTCCCAATTGAAAATCTTTAGGTATATCCATCCTTTCAGAATATTCATTTCTACAATCCACTGGTTATATTATTCATTAAAGAAATGACAGTGACACTTAACATTTCACATCTGTTTTGTAT